CTTCTTCTAGGCGAGGTCTTACGTGGAGACCGGATCGTGAATACACTGTATAATGTAAAGATGAACGAGGAAAAAAAATGTGAGCTGATGTGTGGCAAGAAGACGCTGAAAGTGGAGGAGAGCAAACTGGTGGCTGAACGCATCCAGGAGGAGTATTACGTTCATCTGTGAGCAGTTTAACATCTCTGATGAAGCAGAAACGGAAACCATTTTAAATTGTTCCTTACAGATTCCAGTTAGGGTCACAAGGTTTTAGTTTCTCACATCAGTCTACTCTGTTAATCTGTGCTGTGTTCAGAGTGGATATTTCACAACACGTCATCTGAAAGCACTTTACAATTCAACCAGATAATTCAATCAAACTGATTCAGAGTTTTATATTTAAGGAAAACAACTGATTTAAAGGTTTAACTTTCAAACCGGAATGAACCGAGGCCTTGATGTGTCCTTTCAGGATCGCAGACAACCTTCCAGTGGCCTCCAGGTTGGAGTCTTACCCCAGCAGAGAAGCTGGAGGGGATGAGGAGCAGAAGAAGGTCGCAGACAGAGATGTTCTGTTTGAGCATGGCTACAGACTGGGCTTCGTCGACAACAACAAGGTTGATTTCACAGTCGCTCTTTCCTCACAAACCTACAGAACTTCTCTGTTCTCTGCAGCTCTCTACTTTTCAGTCTTCCTCTGCTGAATCCACAAACAGTGAGCGATCCGGTTCATTCCAGCCGGTTTAACCACTAAACCAACCATGACTGGGGCTTTGGCTACTGTCATCCTAAAATCCCTCATCCTGTGATCCTCAGTCTGATTACAACCAACTTTAGCTTCAGCACCGGAGCTGATGAGTAGAGTAGGCAGGACCAGGATCCCATTATACGACACAGGAAGATGATCAGATCTCCAGAGGATCACAGGCAGATCTGATCTGGTCCTGCTGACATTATGCTATATGATTGGCTGAACATTTCCACATGATGTAAAACATTTTGATATTAACCTCTTACACCCTCAGGGGGTATAAATAAATTTCTGCCTGACAAAAACACACAAAAGTAAA